CCTGGGACTCCAGGTGGGCTGGGGTACTTGTTGGATCTTTCTACTGCGACGTCGTGGTCGGTTCTCTCCCCTGCGGACAATTTGAAATCTCCCACACATATGTCCTCATAAAAAATCACGTTTCCTTATCTGCTGTACATACTCAAATTTCTCAGCAAGAAGAAACCCTTTCTTCAGAGATAAATGCCGCCAACCAGCTCTCTCCCATCTACACTTGGCAACAAATTATTTCTGAAACTGTTATCTTCCTTAACCAGACTTTCTTCAACTCTACCCCTCCTAACAATTGCTTGCTTTGCGCATCTTTGCTACGCCCACTTCTGGCTGCTGTCCCTGTAAACATTACCTCACTCTCTTCCAATTCTTCCTCGACACCCCTCAGCCTTCCCGATGTTCCTCTATGGGATCCCGATAACACCCCCAACCACACTCTTGTGTCCTATCACTGTTTTCTGGGATCATCCACCCCCTCACCCCATTCTTCATTCCATTGCACAAAAAGGTCCACCATCACAAGCCACACAACGTCCCCACCTGGCACCTTTTTTTGGTGCGACGGAACCCTTCCCACCTTTATCTTTCCTAATACCTCCGTCCCTTGCTACCTAGTCACTGTCGTTCCCCAACTAACTTTATATTCCCACGCAGAGCTTTTCCCCCTTTCCATCCACCCCCAAGACAGCGTCGAGCCGTCTTTCTCCCAGTCCTAGTGGGAATGTCCTTAACAACATCAATTGTTGCGACCGGCCTGTCGGGCGGGGCCTTGGGACATACTTTATGGGTGGTACAAGACGTTAATAACAAACTACAAAAGGCCCTCACCTCCACAGCTGAATCTCTATCTGCCTTACAAAGACAAATCACCTCCCTAGCTAAAGTTACCCTGCAAAACCGCCATGCATTAGACCTCACGGCAGACAAGGGCAGCACTTGCATCTTCCTCTGGGAACAATGTTGCTATTATATCAATGAATCAGGACTAGTAGAAACCGATATTGTCAAACTCACCAACTTAGCCTCAGACCTCAGAGCCAACCGCCCTGATCCTTTTTCCTCTTTTTTCCAAGGCTCACTTCTCACCTGGGTATGGCCAGTATTAGAACCCCTCGCTGTTATATTTATAGCCTTCTTCTGCCCTGCATTATAAAATTCATTCAAACTCAACTCGGAAGAATCTCTAACCAAACTTTTAACCAGCTTTTACTTAGAAACTACCAGCACCTGGCCACCAAGGATCCTGCCCACTCTTCACCAGATCAGCTAACCCGCTGTTAAAATGGA